GTAGTATAAAAAGCAGGCATTCATGGGGCAACTAATTATAGATTACATTGGCGTACCTAAGGGATAGCTGGTATGTCACCTGGCCTAAAATTGTGCAGGGTTCTCCAAAACCCCTTATTTATTAGGGGATTTGCAAAAGTGCCACTCTATTCCATCCCGTGGGATTTACACATGCTTCGCTTCTTTTTCCTGTTTTGTGTGTTATGTGTACTTAATTTCTGTGGAGCCCAGGAGTCAATCAAAGTTGGTGCAATACATTATTCTACTCTTTCTCTTTTTAGGGATAGGGACTTTAGCAAGAGGGGAATAGGGGCAGTATTGTAGGGGTTTGGGGCCTTATTGTGATGGATGCAGGGGCTGTATTGTCGCAGATTGATTCTTTAGTATGGGGACAGGGCCCATATTGTGAGGGATTGATTCTTAAGTGTGGCAGGAAAGGGGCTGTATTATAGGGGAAAGGGGCAGTACTAAAGGGGATTTGGGGCGTTAGTGGTAGTATTAGGAATAGTATTGTGGGGAATGGGGCTTTAGTGTGGTGGGATATGGACAGTATTATGTGGTAGGTGTGACAGATCTGTCTGTCTTGAACTTAGAGAGACTTATCGTTCATTTGCTAGTTTAATTCATGTTTTCCAATTCATGTGGACTCTATACCATTCCCTTTTTTTACTACCGAATAAAACTCCCAAATGGCCAGCCACCCAGTAGAGAAGTGTGCTGCTGGTTAACCTCTTGGCCCCATTCGAAGGTTGAGGTTAACCGCAGACACCTTTTAATTGATTCCTGTAGCTGGGTGGCCGCCATTCGTATCCCGAACACGAGGTCGCGGCCATTTTAAATCCGCGAACGCTCAGCGGTGTTTGACGGTAAACCCATGGAACTCAAAACGGACACTTTTTGGCCTGAACACCGCTGAAGCCGTCGACCTCCCTTCTCCTTTGGTAGAGAACTCCCGAAAATCCCTGTATTCGGTATTTTGTCCACGAATAAGCCATACCCCAGATAGCCATCCCGTGGAGTCTATTTGTATGGAGAACAGACTTTGTGAACACTTTGACTCCAAGGCGATTGGACTGTGTACATAGGATCTGAGCGCTCTTCGGTACTTTTGTGCGCTCAGATCCCAGCTATCTGGGGACACATAGAATGCCTGTATTATGTCCAGTTATTGTAAATGTATATATTTTTATGCATTTTGTTATAGTAATTTAAAATGGCGTTTGGTCTCTGTCCAGGGAGATAATTGAATTACTTCACAACTATCTCCCGGGTAGAGCAGAGGGTCTTGGGTAATTAAAGGGGCATGGCTACATGTGTAACACTGTGATTGGTTGTTGTAATGTCCTTGTCACAGTCTCCCATCTTGTCCCCTAGGGGAGTGTCCACCAGGTGGGAGACCTGCATAAATACCGGGCAGGTAGCCCTCAGTAAAACAGATTCCTGCTGACCCTCAATACGGAGCTTTGTCTCGTCATTGGGGGGATTATTCGTATGGATTATGCTTGTTCGACTATTTGGGAGACTGACTGATTCGTGTGATTGTTGTTCGGCTGTTTTTGGAGACCAACGGGTTCATGTGATTGCTGTTCGGCAGTTTGGAGCGCTCAGTAGCTACCTCTGCATTCGGTAAGGGAACGTCCTATACGGCAGTAACCACTCTCCTACAGGGGGAGTCGTAACAGTAGGGATTGAGCCGATACTAATACCAATAATCTGTGAACTTTCAGGCCGATAGCCGATAGCTTACCGATATTCTGTACATTTACCATATTTACTTTTTTTTGCAAATCTTATTGTATTAAGTGGTAAATGCACAAAATATAAATACCAGTCAGATTTTTTCTTTATGTTTTCAAGAATATTTATATGTGTGTGTAGTGGATGCAGTGAGAGTATTTGATTAGCAAATGCAGTATGTGTGTGTGTGTGTGTTTGTTTGTGTAGTGGATGCAATGAGTTTGTTTGTGTATTGGATGCAGTGTGTGTGTGTTTGTATAGTGGATGCAGTGTTGGTAGTGGATGCAGTGTGTGTGTGTTTGTGTAGTGGATGCAGTGTGCTTGTTTGTGTAGTGGATGCAGTGTGGGTAGTGGATGCAGTGTGTGTGTGTGTTTGTGTAGTGGATGCAGTGTGTGTGTTTGTATAGTGGATGCAGTGTTGGTAGTGGATGCAGTGTGTGTGTGTTTGTGTAGTGGATGCAGTGTGCTTGTTTGTGTAGTGGATGCAGTGTGGGTAGTGGATGCAGTGTGTGTGTGTGTGTGTGTTTGTGTAGTGGATGCAGTGTGGGTAGTGGATTTAGTGTATGTATATTTGTAGTGGATGCAGTGTGTGTGTGTGTTTGTGCAGTGGATGCAGTGTGGGTAGTGGATTCAGTGTGTGTGTTTCTGTAGTGGATGCAGTGTGTTTGTGTGTAAATATGTGCGGTAGGAACTCCCCTCCTCCCCACCCCTTACCTGTCTCTTTGTGCCCCCCCTTACCTGTCTCTTAGTGCCTCCCCCCATTCCCCTGTTCCTCTCCCTTCTCTGTTAGTGGTCCCCCCCTACCCCAGTGTTCATTTTCCGCTTGTGCTGCCTTATGGAGGCACGGCCCACTCATTCATTATCAGTATTGCCGGTGATTATCGGCCAATACCGATACTTACAAAAAATCAGAATATCGGACGATAATATTGGCAAAACCACTAATCGCTCGATCCCTATTATGTGGGACAGGGGCATTAGTAAGGGGATAGGAACAGTATTGTGGGGTATTGAGTCTATGGTGGGGGGGGGAGATAGGAACAGTATTGTGGGATCTGGAGCTATGGTGGGGGGATTGGAACAGTATTGTGGGGTTTGGTGCTTTAGTGATGGGGCAGGGGCAGTATTGTGGGTGTCTGGGGTTATGTTGGGGGGTTAGGAACAGTATGGAGTGGTATTGTTGGAGGTAGAGCAGCATTGTGGGGGCTGGGGCTATGGTGGGGGCATCGGAACAGTTTTGAGGGACAGGGCAGCATTATGGGGGACTGGCGCTATTGTGGGGGAAGGGACAGGGGCTATGGTGGGAGGGGGATAGGGGACAGCATTGTGGAGTACTGGGGGGATAAGAACAGTATGGGTACAGATCCACATTTCCTGTACAGAACCTCTACAGGGCAGGCGAGGGAGCTATACAGGAAATGCAGATCTGGATCAGAGCTTACTCAGAGGAGCACTGCAGCATCCCGCTGGACCCCAGGCTGTGGATCCACTCTACAGTAAATGACCGTCAGGAGAAGAGTGCTATGCACGTCTCTCCTGCCGGTCATCTGGATACCCCCCCCCCGGGCCAGAGCACCCTAAGAAGGCCGCCTGTGCAGCCTTATGGTGGCGCCGGCCCTGTATAAATGGTCTCCAACTAACGTGAGTGTACCTATGGTCTATGTTAAAGGAACACTATAGGCACCACACAAACTGTAACTTAATAATGCAGTTTTGATGTATAGATCATGCCTCTCCAGTCTCACTGCTCAATTCTTTACCATTTAGGAGTTAAATCATTTTGTTAATTTAGCCCTAGTCAAACCTCCCTGCATGTGACTTGCATGGCCTTCCTAAACACTTCATGAAAAAGCTAGATATTCTAGATCCCTGTATTGCACAGTCTGTTTAATCTAGAATTTCCATCTCCTGCCCTGTTAATAGCCTTCTATACCCTGCAAAAGCCACCTGTGTGTGATTAAAGTTCAATTTGCAGAACAGGAGATAAAACTTTCTAAAGCAACCTAACATCTGATTGAAATTAAACCTTTTTTCATGCAAGCTCTGTCAGTCACAGCCAGGGAAGGTTTGGCTAGGACTGCCTAAACAGAAAAAAAGTTATTAACTCCCAACTGACAGAGAATTGAGTAGTGAGACTGCAGGGGTATGATCTATACACAAAAACTGCTTCATTAAGCTAAAGTTGTTTTGATGCCTCTGGTATCCCTGGAAGTTTTATATTGAGTATGGTATTATACTTATTATGAGAGTGGATATATGAAGTGAAGACCAGTCAGAGATCTTTATACATCATAATAGAGGGGAGTGGCCAACAGAACGACCTAAGAGGAGCAAACTATTTGAGCTAACTTATTAGCTCTACCCAATGTGAGTGTTCCATTGTTAGGGATTTTTTTTCACTTTGTACTTATATTTTGCTTTACTATGATGTTTAGTTTTATTTTTAAGGGATTGGATTTTGGCCCATTTCATGGTACTGCATATATTGAGAGGTCAGGAACACACCATAACACCATGTATTGGTCGTTCAACCTCTATCACACTGCTCACACAAAACATGATGGCCCGTCTCACTGCGCAGAGAGGATGGGGGTACATTGGTTGTCAAACTGTGACTGTTGTGCCTCTTACTTCAGTACTCCCACAATCTGGCAGGTCTATGAGCATGCCCCTTCTCGGTGTGTACCCCGTGCAATTACACTTTTAACATTTTTTTTTACCAATACACAATTACATATCTTTATAAAAGCTTGAATGTATGTGATATGATAACCTTATAACATTCAAGAATCACTGGAGTATAAAATGGGACATTATACCCATCAATAGGAGCTTACCAGTTTAAATATTTGGAAAGTAGAAAATGTTACCATTAGTTAGACAGTATATTTAGTTACACTTTATTTCTCAAAAAGTATAAACATCCATGTACATGAAAACAAATACAGTGCAATCAGGTTTATTTATTTTTCTCATTCAAAAGAGCAGTCTGGACACGTTCCATAACCAGACCGATATAGAATAATTTACTTAGATACAGTCACAGGTTTCATTTTTTGAAACCTAACCTCTAAAAATGAAATAAAAGTCTTTAGACCACATATATTATTTCAAATATCCGATTATATAGTTATTGACATTATATTTCATAAATAATAATTTCTTTGCAGGACAAAAGAAGAACCAGAATAATATTGGCACAGTCAAATGTTATGTTGACATAGTCAAAGTGAGACATGAAGGCTTCCATCAAGACCAATGTTCTAGAGTCCAGAGTGAATTTGCATGTGATATCGGAACTGGTCGGGTTCTAGAAACGTTTTGCCACACACTGTGCATGTGGAGAGCTTGTCCTTGTTGTGTGTGCGTCGCACGTGGCTGTCGTGAGCTGCATGTGATGCAAAAGCCTTGCCACAATGTTTGCACTTGAAAGGCTTCTCACCAGAGTGTTGTCTGATGTGTGTGCGGAGGATGCTGGATGCTGTAAAGGCCTAAGAATGGAATATAAATAGGTTAAAATTGAGATATTACATTTCCACATTTTTTATTTTTTTTTATATTAAATCAGTATTTCAAAAGAATGTTACAACATTTTCCCGACAACAGGAAGATTTATTCAAACCCAAATTATAGTGAAATAGAATAGCAAGATTAAGTTAAAAATAGATGATTTTGAAAAATGTCCTACACAGTTGTAGTCACAGCGTGGCTATTTCAGCATAAAGTTTTCAAAAATTATTACTTAAAATAGCACTGTTACTAACACAGACCCTAAATTTTTTTATTTTTTTTTTATATATACAAATGTATAAATGTCCATAAACCAACCATGTCTATGAGAAGCTTTAAAGAAGGAAATAAGTGCGGAGCAAAAAGAGGGTGGGTCTTCCGAAGACCACCCCTGCAGCTAAGAGAGGTAACTTTTAGAGCAGGCCTGGACAACCTGCGGCCCCCAGATGTTTTTGAACTACTCGCATGATCCTTTGAATGAAACAGATAGCCAACGCTCATCATTCATTTAATAAAACAGATAGCCAATGCCCATGATTCATTTAATGAAACAGATAGCCAACGACAATGTTTTTAAATTAAACAGATAGCCAGGGAATCATGGGATTTGTAGTGCAAAAAATCAGGGGGGCCGCAGATTGTGCAGGCCTGTTTTAGAGCTTAGGAAATATTTGTGCACATTTGAATAAAAGCATTTTCTTTTTTTTTTTCTTTTTTTTTGCAATAATTATTTGCATTAAGAATATGCACTTTGTTAACAGAATTTCCCATAAATATAGAGCTTCCCTTTAAACAGTGTGTTGTGTTTTACTGGCAGGTAACTTGCAAAATGCATTACAAAAAAATATTGTGTAATTACCAACTCCAGATTTGTAGATTGTTTTCCAATTTTAATTTTTTATTTACCTAATATTTGCAAGTCATTTCTTTACTCAATAATGGGCAAATTGAATTTATGAAAGACATTGCAAATGCTAAACTAGTTGAGCGGGGAAAGAAATAATTGTGATTTTTTTTTTCAAGCTAATCTATGTTGATGTTTCCCTTGTCAATGTTCACCTATTCACAATTTAGCAAATAAATGCCCATTTTACTACTTTATGGGGTTGTGTACCAAATCTGATTGTTTATTCAATGGTCTTGACACGGGTTCAAAGACTTTATTTTTCCCAGCTTTTTATCACTTTAAAACATTGCAGGTAAACTGAGTTGTAAGGTGAGGGAGGTGTAGGGGGAGAGAGAATAAGGGGGGGGGAGAAAGAAAAGCAATATTTTGATAAATACTGCATGTTTCAAGTTGTAGAATTAGAAGCCCTTTAGCTGAATGTTGTCCTGGAAGCTTGTAATGAGTGTAATTTAATGATAAGATCTAAGGAGCATAATTAGAGATTAGCACCATCCCTTTTCTTTTCAAAGAGACCCTTGTTGACTATTTACCAATTTAGATCTATGTTGGGTGATTCCACTTTACTGTGGATTATCCCACTCTCTTATCTTTTGTATATTTTCATTATAAGCATTCAGTGATAGAGTACTTAGTATAGAGCAATGCACTCAGCTATATAAATTAACCACTCAGTGGCTAAAAGGAGCCTCTCACAATGTGTTTCTCTGCCTTAGGTAAGGAAGGGTTAAGGGTTCCTCTTAAAGCAGCTTTACTGGGGAAAATACAATCTTAAGCCTGTCAATGCAAAAAAAGGTAAAGACAGGAAAAGTACTACAGTGAAAAGTGTATAATGTTAGAAGATTGTAAAAACATGATATAAAGAGATTTAAAGTGAGTTGGGTGACATTATGTTGTCATTCATTATCCCCACACCTGTGCCACTTCACACAAATATTACTTTAAATACAGAATAATAGCCAACAATTCTTTCCACATTTAGATTAAAGTCAGACTTAGAAGATGAATTCATATCAGTGAATAAATCGATGTTATTATTATTATTATTGGCATTTACGAAGCGCCAACATATTCCGTAGCACTTTACAATATTATAATATATTTTATTTATAGCAAATGCATATGGGTACAGGGAATGTAAACAGTTTACTACATTACAGATTTAGCAGGGAGCTACCAACATGGGCCCTTCCTTTAAATCCGGGGTGCCCAAACGTAGATCCTCATATGTTTTAAAACTACAGCTTCCATGATGCTTTGTCATTGTAAAGGCATTCTAAAGGCATGCAAAGCATCAAGGGAGTTGTAGTTCTACAACATCTGGGGATCTCCTTTTTGGGCACCCCTGCTTTAAACACTAAGCTGCCTTCCTTTATATTATTTTATATATATATATATTTTCTGGACTTACTAATGAAAGGAAAGCACGACATAGTGCATCATGGGGAATGTCACCTGCAGTCCCAGGATATAACAAGGAATACATTGTCAGATTGCAGGTGGGGGGGAGGGGGCTTACCTTGTTGCAGTACACACACTTGTACGGTCTCTCCCCAGAGTGGACCCTCATGTGCTTGTTCAGACTGGATGACTGGGAAAAGCTCTTTCCACAAACAGAACACTGATAAAAAAAGAAAGAAAAGAAATTGGAAGTGTGACATAAATACTACTACACACGGTTTAAATACCAGATGGAAGCACAATACTTTTTAGATGGAAAATGTATCAAACATTTATCCTGCAAGTTTATAATGCAAAGGGTTGATCAAGAGCAGTCCCCGGGTTCTATAGTAGGATAGGTTTATCGTTTATGATACTTTACTATGGGGAGCTGTAATAACAATTCACTTGATGTAAACGAACCCAATATAAAAAATAGGGTAAAAACTGGACACAATCTTGGGGTTTTTACACTGTGACACAATGCGACTAATCAATTCTTTATTACCATATTTCGCCGCATAATGGTCGCACATTTTAGGCCTAATTCCTTTTCTTAAAAATGGGGTGCGACTATTATGCGGTGTGTGACCATTATGTGAAGCTTTATTTTTTGCGATATCATATGTGCAAAGCTTTGGGGGGGTTTTAACAGTTGCTGATAACATTATAGTTGCTAATAACATAACAGCATATATTCTAACGCATTACGTAAACTCTGATCCTGATCCCTGTCCTTCCATTTCCTAATGCATTGCTTAGAGAAAATACGCTAAAATCCAATAAACTGATAGGTAGTAAACCCTCTCTTTAGTAGAAAATCAGTAGGATGTTTGCCATGAGTTTTCAAGAATAAGAATATCTCACAACAGAAACAGCAATGGTTAATTATGCAACTATTATGTGATGGGTTGGATTTCAACCAATTTTTGGACTGAAAAACCAGGGTGCGGCTATTATGCAGTGAAATACGGTATTCTCATTATTATTTACTAAAGTGAGAATTTAAAGTGAATTCAAAGTGAATTTCAAATGTAAGTTCAAAAAAGTCAAACTGGAAAAATTGTCTAAGTCAGCTAAACTTTCAATTCGACTACTCTGGCCTTAAATGGGAAATTCACTTTTAATTCACTTTAAATTCTCACTCTAGTAAATATCCCTATCAACAAGAATTGCAGCGAATTCAAATCCGAATTGCAAAACATAGGTAACAACACACTGTACAGCGCTATGGAATTTTCTGGCGCTATATAATTAATAAAATAATAATAATATTTGCTCAGGAAAAATCTCAACACCACTTTAATCACACTCTTATTTCAGGCTCAATTTTGCACATAGGTTTAACTTTATTACAGAACCGAATTAACACTCCAGTCTTTATGGGTGTATCCATAAAGATATATACTTCTGAGTATATGCAGGTAGGGGCCATTGATTACAGGAATATTTTAAATATTTAAAAAAATGAAATATACTTCAATCAGGGTTCTTTTCTAAACAGAAAACTGTCATTAAGTGAAAACTGACTTAGAAAATGTAGCAAAGATGTCATTACAGCTAATTTGTAGAATTTCTCCAAACCACATAAATTTGTCTAAATTTTGCCAGTTTTCTACAATTTGGAATTTGGTAGATTTTATTACATTGATGAAACCCGTTGTGTTAATTATTCTATATGGAGTAAGTTTATAGTTTGTATATACCGGTACATATAGAAAATGTGTTAATAATACAAATTTAAACGAAAAATGTCTCGAGGTTCGTTTTCAACGTGTTCTCATTTTTTCGTTCCCCCTAAAAATATATAATAATCTGAACTACTCATGTAACAGACAGGGGACCTTTCTTCATGGGATTTGTGATTTTTGGCACGCACGTTTTAGGGTGATATTTACTAAAAATTTAAAATAGCTTTAATCGAAAAAAGAGGTCTGAAAACGGTCTGATATAAGGGAGTAGCTTAATTCGTGTATTTTCTAAGGATCAAACAGGGCATGAATACAGAGTCAGACAGAGTCATTGTAATATGTATCTGTCCAATATAAGTTAACCTCACAAAAAATAACAGTAAGATCACATTCCATAGAATACTCAGTGATTTAGGAAATACTACCATTTAAAGAGGCAGCGCTACATTTATGAAAAAAATGTATCAAAAATGATTCCAAATATTTACATTAAATATTGTTGATGAATCTTACCCTCCAGCTGTCCTTTGAAAATGAACATTTTTTTTTAGCAATATCAATGGGCTTTGTATGGTGAATAGCATAAAATGTAGGAATTGTGTAGTTAATTAACTAGAAGCTATGTTTATACCTTTTTACATAAATAATGAGCCGTAAATGAACCCATCTGCTATGTTATATGTGTTAGTTCTTTTCTTGTTGTGACTAGGAAAGTCTCTGATTGTGCCTAGAAGCAGAGCCTGCAGGGCTGTGGTATATTGTACAGTCAGTTCCCCAATCCGGATTATGACAGCCAGGAGATTCTCCCATTGATCTGAGACATCTCTAATATTACACACGATGCATTAGCTCCAAATCTGTGTAGAACACTCAAGGAAATCATCTCGGCCAATTGAGCTGTTAAATAATGGAAGTGAGTAAGTATGTGCAATGGGAGGGAGCCTCCTGGAGTCAGACTTGGATCTATTTCAGTTTACAAGCCTTTCAATCCGTAATAAGGGGCCTCAAGCCAAAAGCAGCTTAGATTATGACAACAACCTATGACTGGGTTTAACTCTCTCACTGCTGGGGTGAATGGTGTGTGAGTCTCTGTGACACTCTGGGGGGAGGTGGGGGGTGTATCAAATTCTAGTTTGGGTCCTGCAACGTTCTAAATGGTTAGTACTGGTTAGTATGGTTACCATGGTGATTGGTTATTATTTAACTCTTTGATACAGAATATCATTGTTTTGCCTAGATAAATCTCTCTGTGTGCTGTGGAGCCTAACTTTTTACTGAGTTTAAAATCAATTAAGAAATGGTTTGATAAATGACAGCATATTTTGCACACTACAAAGCTGTATATTTTCCTTTTTAAAGAGACTGGAGGCCTGAGCAAAGCCCACTCTTGTTCTGAAGGGGTTAAACAGTGACTCACCTTGTGAGGTCTGTGTTTCTCGTGCACGTGTAGAATGTGGATCCTTAGTCGATCCCTTTTCTCAAACGATCTGTTACAGAGATGGCAAGGAAACTTCCTGTCCCCCTGATCCACACATCGGGTATATTTGAGGTGCTTGTCTCTGTAGTATTTATAGGCAAAGACCTTGCCACATCTCTCACACTTATAGCCATCTCCAGGTTCTGCAGAGACACCCAATACCAGACCATTAGTTTTACACTCATACACACATTGATCGCATTTATACAGCTTCACACGTTGTGTACATTGCAATCACAAACGAAATGAGCTTTAAAAATTATCTTTATAAACAGAAACATAAATCTATTGTTTATAAAGTGCACTGAACACAAATCACAGGTTTTATTCTACCTGAGAACGAATTGTAAGTATAAAAATCCTAAACTGGTTTAATAAAAATAACTGAGATTTTACATAACCTTAAAAATTAGTCATAGAGAAACGAAATACTTGTGTTGGTTAATAAAGTAGCCTTTCCACTTGTATTTGTAGCAATTTACTAAACAGAATCTCGATACATTGTATCTGTTACATTAACTGTCACCAGAGTGATGTGACATTGTATAAAGAGCCAATAGTGTGATCGTGTGGGTTCAATACTGACACAATGTGCTTTAGAGAAATAAAATACATTCTAACTATGTTATAACACTAACATCTGAGAAAACTAGCTTTCAATTACTAAGAAAAGAAACCCATAATCTACTAACGTTTCGGCATGAGACTCTTTCAATGATTGGTCTGTTTTTTTATTATTTTATATTTGTATGTTTTTATTATTATTTTGTATTAAGTTCCATTTTACAATTGCACTGTATGTATTAATAAAGTGCACCATTCTGTGACGCTATTTCAGCGTCAATCTTTAATATTTATTCGTATGTCTATGGAACAGAAATTTTGAGAATCTTCGTTTATGTTCACTTCGTTATTTTTGTACATAACCATTTAGTTTATTTATAATGTGTATGTAATGTGTTATTTATAATATAATATGTATTCACTATTTAACAAATTCTGTGTTTGTAGCTACAATAATTGTACAAAACAGAGGAATACTCTGGATCTATATTAAATTATTTTCCACCAACATGTGAATGATTCATGGATTTATTACCTTTGCTGTCTCAGTATTATTCTTATTAAACCAGCGTTGAACCGGTGCTAATTTATTGTATCCTATCTCTCTAGAATTGTATCTAAAATCTTGTTTTCTTCCACATACAGTTAGTTTTCTGTATAGATAGAGGGATATTATTCTACAGCAAGTTGGCTTGCTGGTTCAGAAAAAGAATTAGGCAGCTTATTTCCTATAATGATTAGCCTGTCTGTAACAATCTATCTGATGTTATTATTATTATTATTATTATTATTAATATACCTCCAACTATATGTATAACAATATATCTGATGTTATTATTATTATTATTATTATTAATATACCTCCAACTATATGTATAACAATATATCTGATGTTATTATTATTATTATTATTAATAATAATAATAATAATAATATACCACAAACTATATGTATAACAATATATCTGATGTTATTATTATTATTAATGATAATAATAATATACCACAAACTATATGTATAACAATATATCTGATGTTATTATTATTATTATTAATAATAATAATAATATACTACAAACTATATATATAACAATATAGCTGATGTTATTATTAATAATAATAATAATAATATACCACAAACTATGTATATAACAATATATCTGATGTTATACCTTCAGTGAGAGGATATGGGGGTCTTCCATCATCCACCCCCTTCAGACTGACAGGGATCCCCAGGAATTGCAGATAGCAGTCACCATACCATACCAGCAGCTCCTGTCTGGGGAGGATCTCTTTGCAGGTCTCATAGTAAATCTCGCCAACAGATTGAATGGCGATGAGATTCTGCTCCTCTGGGAACCTCGCACAGTTTACTAGAGCCATCCAGTTACCTGATGCTCCCTTGCCATCTATAAAGTGACTTAGCCGGCCATTTTCAAAGATCTGGGGAGAAAAAAATATTTAGAACTTTTTTTGGTTTTGTCTTTGTTTCCCAATTTCTCGCTCTTCCTGTCTTACCAAACGGGAGGTGTACGTACATAACGAAATGTACACATTAATCTAAGCTGTATAAATGATTTCATCTGCACAATCTATTTTGCACACAGGCACCTGTTTCAGAATGTATGTGACAATGTTTCTATCCTTGTATGAATCTACTATTTACTAAAAAAAATGATTTAGGTTGCATATATTATATGATTATTTTGTACTTTTGGTTAGTTAGTGTTTTTTTTGTTTTGTTTTTTTTTTTATTCGAATTTACTCACCTCCCACATGACCGAATTGTCATCGTACGTTTTGATTTCGCTTGTGTTCACAGTTTTTCCTTGAAAAGGTCCGAATTTGACCCCTTTTGGGATAATATTTGTGCTAAATACTCCTGATTTTGGCAAATCGCCATGTAGTGTTTTCAGGAGAGACAGACCTGGTAATAAAATATTATCATTAGATCAGAATAATGTATATTAGAAATACTGACCATCATTTTAAATATTTATTAAATCCTACTTACCTTCCGGTAACTGCAGAGAGTCTCTGTCCTGTATCTGGGAATCCAGACCTAAAATAGGAATATATATATATCATTATTAATTGTATATTTATTGTTTAAATAATGAATCCTGTGTTCATTTGGTACTATCATATTGCAATAATAATTTTAATTTGCAAAACACTTTTTGAATTCCCAGAAATTCAATAAATAATATTTCAAAATTGGGCTATTTTGGCCTACAATGTATAGATCCCAGGCCAGTTTCCTTACAATTTAGTAAAAACTCTGAGATGTATTTAAAAGGTGCCAACATGATAGAAATTTGTCAAAATACAATGGAATTAAATGATATTATGTAACTTGACATAATAGGAACATTAACATTATATTTTCCCCAAAATATAGAATTCCTATTATACTAGAGTTCCTATTATGTCACGTTGCATGTATACATTTTTAATACACGTGTATATCTATGTAGATATATTATATCCCCAAATAATAGGAAATATACCTAGATACAAAAGAAACCAAATCATTCAAAATAAAATTAACAATGAATGACTGAAATGAAATCAGTTGAGTATTTGATGGAGAATTTTAATGACCAGTCTGTGTATGTGATCTTCTGAAGGTCTATTCACATTACCTGTGATGAGAGAGGGGACCCTCAAGCCAGATATGGAGTGGTTGACAGTGTGGTGGCTGCTCTTGGCATCTGGTCCATGGGTGTATCCATAAAGCACCATGTGAAGGTCCTCTTCGGAGAAATGGTAGGTGTGAATGGGCTTCACTTCCATGCTTGGTCCCCTGAAGGCCATGTTTTTGCACTTTTTGGCCACATGAGATGACTTGGGGCATTCAGTAATGCTGGGATGGAGGGCTGGACTCAGATCACTCTCATGGTGAGGAGAGTCTGGTTTTGAGTAGGGCCCAGGATGCTGAACTTTGCTGAAGATCGGGTAGGTAGTTGGGAAGGGGTTAAAAAGGGGATCCCTCATGGGACTGTGACTGAGTGGGCCAGGGAGGTCTCTGAAGGCAATGGGTCCCATAGGAGCAGATTTGGTGACTAGTCTTCCCAGTGATTTTAAAGGATTAAACATTTCGTGGGGGTTGGATAGGATGCTGAGATAATGGTTGGGGGGTATGAAGTTTGGGAAATAGGAGGATATTGTTGAGGGGCTCATCTGGATGCTTTCTGAGAAAATCCTTCCATTATGGCTGGGATTAATGGGTATAGACAGAGCCATGAGTCTGGGTGGATGGCAGCCACAGGTGATGGGGGTCCAATCTTAGTGAAGGAATTAAGGACTTTCCTTCAGCAGACAATCCTGTCACGTAGAGAGAAATTACATGTTACAATCAGAGAATGATCATTACAGGTTAACCTAAACAAACTGCATGTGTGTATTGTAACTGCAATGATTGTAGCATGTGACATAACAAACATATAACTGTATGTATATACTATTATTATTATTATTATTATTACTATTATTATTATTAAATCTGCAACAGTGTAACCTGGGACAGAAAATACATATAACTACATGTAATGTAACTGCAATTATTGTAACATGTGACAGAACAAACATATAAATGTATGTATACACTATTATTATTATTATTATTATTATTATTATTATTATTATTATTATTATTATTATTATTATTGTAACAATGTAACCTGTGAGAGCACAAACATATAACTGTATGTAATAAAACCACAATGTTTATACTGGAACATGTAAGAGAATACAAACAATATTAACTATATAGCTACATGGATTATAACTGTAATCTGTGAATTAACAAATACATAATAAACCGGATAACAACAGTTGGGATGTCTTGGAGTTTTTCAAATTGCATTTATTTGTTATTTCTTGCAATTCCTTTTATTCACTACAATTAAGACTTTAGGGAACAAACCCCAGTGTGTAGGACACAATGTTCTGTTAATACAGAATATTCATCATTAAAAGCCTAAATTCGTATTAATTTAATGGAGATTTGTAGTATCTCGTCAAAGATTTCTTTATTTTTTTAACGAATTTGGAATAGTTTTTTTTTTTTTTTTAATCCTGTACCCCCCTCTCCCCCCAATAACAAACCCGGAAATAGAAAGCTTCTTCATTATATCAATTGGCTTTCTTCTTTCTCCAAATCAAAGTGAACTAATCCAGTAAGTGCTCACTTAATTCAGGAGAAAGAGGACAATATTGACAGTTCCTGTTCTACAAAAACATCTTGGATTTAGCAAATGGTTTTGTAAAATTATAATATGGCCCCAAAAATGTAACAACTTGGCTATTGTAGAGCTGGGTACTTTATCCTCAGTGTGGGTTTAATTCACTGCAATTCGTAACTTAGTGAATAACCCTCACATTTCTAATCGTGTGATCAAGGGGTCACCAATCATATCACTCACAACTCCTAACATTTCATTTCTTTCCATGTGAAGTCACTAGAAAACACACGGTATCTCTGTATTAATTGTCTATTTATAAGGCGCATTCATTTTATTCAATCACAGGTAAAGCACCATTATTTGGACTATTGTATTTCTAGGGAGTGAATTTCTTATGTAAATTCTCTGTATATGTAACATTCTAATCTAGACTGAATAGTTTCAAACACAAAGCAAAGGTTATTTATTAGACAGATAGATAGAAAGATAGAGAGAGAGAGAAAGATAGAGAGATAGATAGATAGATAGATAGATAGATAGAGAGAGACAGAAAGAGATATAGATGTTAGATAGATAGAGAGAGAGAGAGAGAGAAAGAGAGAGAGAGAGACAGAAAGAGATATAGATGTTAGATAGATAGATAGATTGATTGATTTAATATCTAGGTGCTGTATAGTGTCACGTTCATTGTATCAGCACAGGCCTGGGCTGGTCGCTATATGGGGAAAGCTTCTACCCTCTTCCAATACAGCCTCTATCCCCTCCCCCCCACCATCCAATACACCTCTGCCCCTCTTATCCAATACCGCCTGTACCTCCCATCCAATATAGCCTCTACCCCCCCATCCAATATAGCCTCTACCCCCCATCCAATATAGCCTCTACCCCCTTCCAATATAGCATCTACCAGCCTTCCAACACAGCCTCTACCGCCATCCAATACACCTTTACCCCATCCAATACAGCCTCTACCCCCGTCCAATACAGTCTCTACCCCATCAATACTCTACCCATGTCCCCATCCAATACAGCCTCTAACCCTTCCCCCCCTCCCCCCCGCCAATCTAATACAGCCTCTACCCTCACAACGCCTACCCAATACGGGCTCTACCCCCTCCCTATACAGCCCTATTATCCCCTGCATCCACTACAACCCCTAGCATTCATTGTATCCACTACAACCCCTATTATTCATTGCATCCACTACAGACCCTACGCTCTCTGCGCCCCCTTCAGCCTTTATCTCTCCCCTGACCCACTAAAGAGCTATACCCCCTACACCAACTACAGCCCCTATCCCTCCCGGTATCTACTAAAGCCCCATTTACCACCTGCACCCAATAGAGCTTCTATGCCCCTAATAGCCATTATACCCTCTCTACCCCTGCATCCACTACAGCCCCTATCCCTCTTCTGCTACCAATGCCTCTATTACCCCCTGCACTCTCTACTGCCTCTATTACCCCCTGCACCGATTGCCTCTATTACCCCCTGTACTCGCTGCTGCTTCTATTACCCCCTGCACCCATTGCTTCTATTACCCCCTGCACCCACTTATATTAATGATTTACTTGTGGAAATTATAAGAGCTCCCCCCCACACCCCCACCCCAGGTTTTGACTGGTATCTTTTGTATAGTTCCTGAAGTCCCACTGAGCCCGGAGCATAGTAAATTGACGCAATCAGCCAAACAATAGAAGTGAGGATTTGGCACACTTTGGGATAAAGTACCCCATGGTTTCTATAGTACAATACACACTCAACCTGTTAAAATTACACAATAACACTCTATCTTAGGGGTTAAAGGGTTAATGTATCGGATAACTCCCGAAACTTAGAATTTCTGACATTTTAGAGCAAATTAAACGAACTGGATAATTTATCCAAATAGAATAATTCAATATTTCGGCTTTATCAGCACATTATAGGCAAGGATCCCACCAATTCCCCGTGTTTCTATTTTTAATGGTTAAACCCCAGAATATAATCAGAAGGATTTTATCCCAATCACCAATTATTACCAATCAATGGCTAATGAACACATTAAATCGGTGCAAACATACAGCTATGGCTATGATGCTGCATCAATATATATATATAAATAATAGTAATAATAATAAAAAAAAACACTTCTTAGAACCAATATTTAAGTTCTCCTGGCAGGAATCTGTTTATTTTACCTGTTAGTCGCGTTTTACAATAATGAATACATTGCAAAGCTAATCAAATGTTCGTGTCATTGTTACTGGATCAGACAGACGGATACATTAATGAAATAACAGCAATTAATTTATTTTTATTTTTTTTATTTATTTTTCTGTAAAATCGGCCCAAACCTGAAGAATTTGTATACATTTGTGAATCAGCATGTGATCAGCGAATCTAGTATATTAAAATGAAATATTATACCTTTCACCGATCACACAATCTACCCTTTTTAATTTAACCCTTAGCATGCAAAGTTTTATGTACCTCATTAGATCACTTTAATCAACGTGACTCCGAACCTGGACAGATGATAATATTCAATCCTCATACAGGCCTCGATTTTTATAATTTAATATTTTTGGATAAACGTTTAAAATGATTTTCTTTATTCAAAATATGAATACATATGTTATATATAAAAAACTAATTTAAAAAAATATTACATTTATTTTTCAAAATATTAAATAATTTTAAGAGTTTTTCCAAAAATATATATATATTTAAATGCTTATTTTAAAAAAAATATTAAATCGAGGCCACAATTCGTAATAAGTCTGTCCAATCTTGATTACACCACTTTTAGGACTTTAACTCTGAAAGATTTGGATTTTATTTTGGTCTATGTGACTTGTTATGACCCCATAATCATTGTCCCCTTTTACCATATTCCATTTTTGTACATCATACCATCTAAGCGAGTTGTATTTACTAAACAGTGAATTTTGGCGAAATTAAAGGCTAATTGCAAGATGCCAAGACAGGTAAGTAATTGGTGAAGCATTGCAGTGTAGATTTAATGGTCTAAATACTTGAAATTTAATAACATTCCCCATTTAGCTCCCTAAATAAACTAAATAAAGTTTTACTGTATTAGCTATGATAAAGTTTCATCATCATGGATTTAGGCACTGATTGTCCACATAAAACCATAAAGAAAAATTAGCCAGAAAAAAAAAAGCATTTAAATGTCTGAACAACCCAGTTTTGGGCTAACTAATAAAGATACAGATTGGTTTCAGTATATATTAAATGTAGATTCATTGTGGTACATTGTAGAGAAATAGAGCTACAATTCGGTATGGTCAAATCAGGCTAAAACAAGCAGTTTTATTAACTTTTCTAAAAATAGATTGGATTTACTGTATAGCTTAAGCAACCCAGAGTCTTCTGTGTTTGTGTTTGTGCGTGTGTGTGTGTGTGTTTGTGTTTGTTTGTTTGTGTAGGCTAATAAAACAAATAGTGCAGGTGTTATAGAGAAATAAAAATAGTACATCTACTCCAGGTATGGAGAGTATATCAAGTCGAGAAACAAAAATATAGCGACATAAAATCAATCGATCTATTAATATCAGTCAGAGCAGATCGCAATGTGAAATTGTATAAAGTCTAAAGAAATTGATGGGCAAAGTTCTAAAAGGTCGATCCAAGGCGATCACCCTGGAAACCAATGGAATGTTAGCGCTTAACGTTCCAATATTAGAACTTTGCCCTGGAATGAATCTTTATACAGAACTGGCTTTTTACAGACATTTAACTATCGTCACATTTGTTTTTATTAATTAGACATTTTTTGCTAAATAAATTCCTTGTTACCCTAAAATCATTACACCAGATATAGCAGACTCATAATATGTGATCGTGGCTTTAGAGTACATTCAATAAGGGGTTATATGTTCCCAATTAACCTCACTATCAGTTTACAATTAATTGTTTATTAGTACAGCTATAGATTCTGTAATTACCATTTAAAAAAAAAATATATATAAAAAAAATAATGTATATATATATACCGATTTTAGCCGTAACATTGGTCTTAATGAATCAATATTAGCAATATATGATAAAATCACG